TTTTACTTTCTTTGGCGATTTCAATTACCCGAACATTTACTGGTCTGCCCTCTCTTCTAGTTGTGCGTTTTCTCAAGAATTTATAGACGTTTGTATAGATTTGAACTTTTCAAATGTTATCACTCAGCCTACTAGAATTACTAATCACTGTAGAAATATACTCGACTCATGCTTAAGCCAAGACCCCTCACTCCTCAGTAACATCACATACTAACCTGGCATTAGTGACAATCTCGTCCTCGATTTAACTCTCTCTTTCTCTCTCTCTCTGCTCCTCGTAGATCACATTACTGCGAATTTATTCGCATTTACGCTAGAGCTGATTACGCAATTATCAACTCGAGACTCAAAGATTTTGATCATAGTTTGTCAGTTACGTTCTTGGAAAGAACGGTTAATGAAAACTGGACACTCTTCAAGAATAAAATGATCTACCTAATCGAACGTTCTAGTCCACTGACCTGTATTATATCAGATGGCACTATCCCTTGGTACAATAAAAGAATTCGTAGTAAATTGAATAGGAAAAAAGACTCCATAAGCGTAGTAAGGCTGTCAACACTACGGGTCCTTGGAACGCCTACCACGAATGCGCTACGGCTTACAAAACTGTCAATAATTATGCCAAGACCAAAAACCTGTAGCATCAACCTCCCCAACATACTAGCCACCAAACCAAAGAAGTTTTGGAAACTAATCAATCCGGCACTATCACTTCCTTTGCAATTTGTAGATGACGACGGACTTTCGCGTTCAGATAAGCACGGTGCTATTGCTATTAACAATTTCTTCTGCTCCATCTTTACTAACGAGGACTTGTTAAATATTTCCGACTCGTGCGAATCTATTCACCCTCTAATGAATCCTATCTTAATTGACCGCAGTGGAGTACTTAATTTTTATAGATCGACTGAAGGTGTCTTACAGCTCCGGAGAAAACTAAATTAACTCTAAGGTATTATTAAACACTAAACACATTTCTTCCAATTTCCTCTGCAACATATTCTCTCAATCTCTTGAACTCTCTGAAGTTCCATCTGATTGGAAAGTTTCTAACGTCATACCCGTTCATAAAACAGGCAATGGCCAACTAATCAGCAACTATCGTCCCATCTCGCTCACCAGCATTTCATGCAAACTCTTGGAACATATTCTCTATTCTAACATTAAAAAAACTTTCTAGACTCTCATCATCCCCTTTTCAACCACCAGCACGGATTTCGCAACTCATACTCATGCGAAAATCAACTAACAGCATTCTTGACTGACGTTTACTCAAATTTCGATTCCAGTACTCAAACTAGCGCCATCTTCATTGACTTCTCCAAAGCATTCGACAAGGTGAATGATCAGCGTCTTTTAATGAAACTGAGAGATATTAATCTTCACCCCTCTGTAGTCAATTGCATTTCTGAATTCTTCACTAATCGCACTCAGTACACTTCTATTAACAATGTAAAATCTACCACAAGCACACCAATGTCTGGCGTTCCTCAGGGAACCGTTCTTGGCCCCCTTCTCTTTTTTTAATTTTCATTAATGATCTCCACCATGGCATCACTCCTGAAGTACGTTTGTTCGCCCGTGACTGTGTCATCTATAGACCGATTCATTCACGCCACGATTAACTAATCTTGCAGAACGATCCCTAACTTATAATTTAGTGGTGTCATAAATGGCAAATGGCTTGAATCTAAAATAAATGTAAATCGATATCGTTTCCTGCTGTTCCCATGTTCTATCATCCTCTTACCACCTTGCTAGCATCCCAGTAACTGCTTCTTCATCCGATAAATATCTAGGAAATCATCAGACATCTGACCTGTCATGGACTACTCACATAACATCTGTCATCACCAATGCTAACCGCACTATCGAATTTCTTCGCCGTAACCTAAGGCAAGCTACAACCCGAGTAAAACAACTAGCTTATACTACCTTGGTCAGAACTAAACTAGAATTCGCTTCTTCCATATGCTCATGGTGGCAGGAATACCTAACTAACAACCTGGAATTCGTTCAAAACAGAGCCCTCCGTTTTATTTATTCCGTCTATTCCGCTTACGCAAGCATATCAGGATTTTGCCAATCAGCTAACCTTGACACTCTTTCTCACCGCCACAGGGTGTCTCGTCTTTCGCTTTTTCATCGGATCTTTTATTACAACAGTCATCCCAGACAAAGTTTGCTATCGCCTCCTTACCGTATTTTCCCTCGTCTCGACCATTCTTGTAAACTCCGCCCGATTTCATCATCGACCGTCACTCACCAAGTGTCTAGTTTCACCATTGGCCATTGACGACTGAAAGTCACTGCCTGATGTAATTGTTTCCATAACTGACACTAAAAAATTTTCGGCAGCCATTAGCTTATTTTTTTTTAACCCAAAACTAGATTAGAGCGTGTTTTTGTTTATAAAAAGTTGTGTTAATTCTTTGTTTTTTGAAGTGTTCACTCCTTTGTATAATGCCCCCTGGGCCTTCAAGGAATAATAAATGATGATGATGATAACATTCCATTATCATGTGAGAGATGTTATATTGGGCAGACAGGGTGCTGTATTAATGATGGAGCCAGGGAGCATGCCACATCTCTACGAAACTTTGCAGCAGCAGGACACCCAGGAGCCCATTGTCGCGCTTGCTAACGCGAGGCAGTGCTGTGCAACGTCAATATCGCGGGGCGACATAAAAATCAACTCGCCCGTGAACTGCTGGATGCCCGAGCCATCGAAGAAAAAGGCGAGGACTGTATTAGTGTCCCTTCCGTTGCACTACACAACTCAGACAAGATTTTCCTGCGGAGTGACATGAGTTCCAGGCAAAGGTTGAGGAGGAAGATTGCTTAAAGAACACAAAAGAGAAGGAATGAGAACATTCCGACAGCAGAAAGGTGAATCCGCTGCAGGAAAAAAAAATGCCGTATTAAGTGTAAAGAAAACGAAAACCTAAATAAAGTGTAAAAAATTTAAAAGAAAATCTCAGTTACTATAAAGAAAAAAAAGAACGGAATCAATGATATGAGAAAAAGAAGGAAAAAGAGGCGTTATTAAATGTTGCTAGTCCAGCGGTTCGAATGTTATAATATTTTTCTGCGTGTTTTTCATGTTCAGCAGAGCCCATTTTCTAGCAATGAACAAACGTGCTCAGCTTGTGCCCGTAACATTGACCTGTTTTCTTTAATTTACTATGGATGCAATATTAAATGACTGGTTTTAACCAGTTGAAGGATCGCAGGCAAACTCGACCTGCAAAGCAAATTACGGGTTCTTGGTGTTTGGCACCGGGAGATTCCGGGAATCTTTATGGTCGAATCACTGCCCGGGACTACCGATAAACGTTTCTTAGATTAATGAGTTTTCAATGTTTCAGGAGTTATAAACTTTACACTTAATTGATTTCATTCACTTTATGAATAAAATATGGGTAACATAGGGGTTCTTAACATTTTGCTTTTCCAATGTACCTAATTAGGTTATATGTTCACTTGTGACTGAGGACAAAGAGTAAGCGAAGCCCCGAAAGGCTGTTCTTCCACCGGAAATATTTTGCAAAAACAAAGGGGGATTTTTTATTCGCAATTGATGCCTGGGAGATTGTAGTTCCGTTAAACACTATACGTTCTTAAAAGCAATTAACTTTGACTCTGTAATGTGTAATGCATATATACTCTGTTCTATTTTGCTCACTACACGGAAAGTGTAATTTGGTTATTATTCACTCCAACAATAATTTGCAACACTGTAGACTACCGCTATCCTTTCAAATGTTAAATGCAATTTTTGCGCTCAACCATTATTTATAAGTCGTTTACTTTTAACTTTTAAATGTTCATTTTACTTTTGCTTCTTACTTTTTCAAATAAAAGTCGGCTATAAATTATGTTCTAAATTTTTTTATTCGTATTTGTATATTAATAACAGTGTGTCAAAACGAAAAACAAAGAACCAAAAAACAATATTTTTGGATGGAAATAAAACGTGATCGAAACGTTATTTAAGACGTTGTTCCGGAGTCATACCAAAACCTTATCGGTTTTTTATTTGGTTTAAGGAAAATGGTCAGGTACTTTAGTATTCGCTCCACACAACGAGGAAGGTGACAGCCGTCGGTAGGTGGCAGTTGTCAGAGGAACCAGAAAATTCTCTCAAAGCGTTTTTCAAAAAGAAAAAAGAAAAACTGAGGCTGACACTCAGCTTTATTCGACAAGCGAGGTAGGCCGACTGGACATGGCATGCTTGGTGGGAGCGCTGGATACGGTGCGACGCCTTCCAAGAAGCACGAACGTTTTGACATCTAGGGAAAGACGAATGAAACGCCAACCGGAACTGTAAACGTGAGCACGTGTGGCCGTTGAGTAGCAGCTAAACAGGTCAGTGTAGAGCAGGCGTTCTCGGCGTAGCAATTTACTTGATTTGAACGGAGGTATTTGATTTCACCGAGTAAACTTAATGACGTGCTCCTTCTGAGATCATCCACAGCTCCTTGAGTCATTCTTCCTCGAGGTTTTTTTCCCCGCATTCTTCAATTTAATATTTTGTAATATCTGAGCACTTTCCGAAGCTTCCTGGTGACCTACGTTATTTAAAAACAAAAGATTTTCTTTTTTTAATTTGATTATGATTTTTTTTACGTGAACACCAACTGTTAGAAACCATTACTGACCATTATTTCTTCGTTCCTGAGTTGAACAGGAACGGAAACTTTTCCTATAAAACAAAACTGAAATGAGAAAAAAATGACATTCATAGCGGAGAGTTCTAGAGACCTCATAATGCATGTAGAAATTGCATGAACTTTCTGAATACCTTTAATCACTGTCTTCTAAATTAATTACAGATCCTTTTGAATTCATCTCCTAAATTCACTACAGATCATTTGCATTTTTTATTTCCAAAAATGTTCTTTAGTATTTTTGAGAATTGTAACGAACTCTTTACTTAGTGCATCAGTGGTTGTTATTGCTGAATGCTTAGGTCAAACATACCTCCTATATTTCAGCCTTCCCTGCTGGAATACTTCAGCCGCCACTTTTTCAAGACGGTGTGCCTTCGTAAGTGGCTTTACAAATTCAAATGAGTGGGTTCTCAAAATAATCTACTATAATACGAAAACGCGTCAGCCACTGCACCAGCAATGTGGTAAATGTAATTATAACTGAAAAAAAAAATATTTGAGATTGGTAAAACAAATATTGAGGTTTACACTTTTAAGGGAGGTGGCATTCTTTTGCCTTTGTTTTCCTCGCGACTCAATCGTGTAATGCGCATTGCAGTGTAATGAGTACATAATACGCAGAACACCACATACAGCAGCATAAATCCACAATAACGAAAAATAAGAAACAATTCAAGCGGATATTCAGAAGTATCCTAAATTAGTATGAAAACAAACTAAATCTTAATTAATTTATGCTTTATTCTTCATAGCATATCCCTCGAAGCACAACATATTTGGGCCAATGTTCATCTAGTTTCTCTATTATCTTTGAAAAGTGATTTTCTTCTAGGTTCATAAAAAATACTTGACAGCCTCGATGGCCTCTTTCATTTTGCCCAAATTTTCCACCAGTCAGAAATGTTATAAGTCTCGGGTCCAGGTTGAAGTACGAGGAAGCCAATTCAAGCGAGTATGGTGGATACGGAAGAATTTTGAACTACAGTTCTATTAATCCTTGCTCATCCAGCGAAATTGCTAAATCTAGCTAATTTGCTCCGATTGAGGAGATGCGACACTCACATTGCATAAAGGCAACTTCTATCTTAATATCTAAACTATAAATAAGGTTTCGTGTGTTCGGTATTTAATTTTCTCGAAATTCGGAGGTTATTTATAGGTGTTTATATTATAACGTTCCTCACTGTTCACCCCACGTACGGGTCAAGTACCGTACAAAACAGCCGAGAAACGTAACTCAAACATTTTACTTAATCGGAAGAGTCTGAACCTGGAACCGGTGCTGATTAGCTTCATAGCTCGTGGATACGGTCGTTCCTTGTCTGCTCGGGCACCTCGGTTTTCTCGTTCCTCCTTCATTTTTCTGCCTTCAACCAATGGCGTTTAGGTTTTTCTGGTATTCATAAAATTCAGATGAACACGTCTGGTAAAAGCCTCCGGCAGTCCTGCCGGGAACGTATCGCTACAGTATCTTTCCTTTAAATCGGTGTTTTTTGGTGCCCAATTTCAATGCCGGAGAGAAATCGGTGTTTATCGGGGTTGTGTTGTATAGCGACTGTATAATTACTAGAGAAAAAACGTATAATTTATACGTTAGTATAAATTATATCATATATGATAAATTACATAACGTTAATATAAATTATATATAATAATAGTTCAGTGCGGCTGTGTTCCGGGTCAATGAGAAGAAAAACAATTAAAAAAGTAAGGTAGAACGTTTTTTCCCGAAAAGCTGGCTTTTCTTTCCCTTCAGGGATACCTCAAACATTGGCATTTTCTGGTTTTCACCGATTCGGAGAAATCCGTCTCGGGGGTAAATATTGGTATTTATCGGTGTACGTCGAAAACACGAAAGAGTAAGTGAAAACTACTCGTTCATAAACGCTCCCTCACAGGTTTCATAACTTTACGCACTTATATTCGGCGAGTTCCAAAACCATGTTATGAATTTTGTTTACAATTCCTTGCGTGGTAGCCGTTTTGAACGTCCTAAACGTGGTTCGTTCCATGTGTGCCTCCGCCCATTCTTGGATACCGAAACCCAAAAACTGACGGTGGAAAATAAAGGACCTAAGTTCCCAAGAGCAGAATCTAACCTGGATGTCTTTTCCTCCCAAGAGTTTTCTTTCAAACAAAATATGTGACCGATCGGACTCTTTTTTTAATCAAAACTCGAAATCTACAAATGTTGTCAACACAACGATATTATAATATCTGGAAAAAGCCGTCCTCTTAGAGGTGATTATGGACACAATTGAATTTAGTTTGAGATAAACAAATATCCCGTTAAGCTCTTAAGTTCCTGAAAATCAGCTAGCCGTGTTTGTATGGATAACCCAATTGCTTGAAAGATAGGTTCCCTTATTATTCCTGAGAGCAATATAATGTGGATCAAAGAGCACTGAATAAGCAGAGACGAGAATTGAGCATGAAACCCTTAACGGTTAAAGCATGAAACGCTTAACGGAACCCCCAATCCCAAATTTTTATTTCGTCAATCCGTCCATCAGGGAATTTCTCGCTAAATTTAGTGGGGAAACTAAATTGGTGTTTAAGACCCGCAACGTCAATTGACGTAACCTGACCTCATGTCACGTGATCAGATGTGACGTGATCTGTACACCAATTAAGTTTCCCCGCCAATGTCCGGGGGGATATTGATGTCACGTGACGTATTCACCAATTCTCTTTCCCCGCTAAATTTAGGGGACAATTGATGCCGACCTGGCGTCCCGTGACCTATAAACCAATTCAGTTTCCCCTCTAAATTTGGCTGGGAAATTAATGTCATGTAAACTCAACACCTATAGATTCCCCGCTAAATCTAGCAAGGAAATTCACGTCAAGTGACCTGACCATTCTTGACACACCAATACAATTTTTCTACTAGATTTAGCAAAATAATTGACGCCACATGGCCTTCACACCAATTTGCTTTTTCCGTTAAATTTAGCGGGGAAATTGACACCACGTGACCTAAGCGCCCAATCCGCCCCCTCCAAAGTACTTAGTATATTAATAAAAACAAAGGTTCTTCACTCCTCGAAACTATGGTTTAATGTCTGCTAAATGCTTTTATAGTATCGTATCTTAGATTCGGCATTTTAAGCATAATTTTGTGGGAACGAACTTCAGGGGGGGGGGGGGGGGGGGGGGCAATGTGGAAGCGCTCAGTGACTTGTGCTATGTGAGATTTTTGGTTTACATTAGGAATACTAGCACGATTCGACGAATATGGCCCAATTAACATTTATTTTCAACAATGCCCGATATAAACTGCGAAAGAAGATACTTCCATTAGGTACTTACTCTGGGCACGTCAGCCATTTAAAAATAATTTAGATTCTTTTCCTGACACTTTAATTAATAGAAACACGGACAATTCACCTGCGATGGGTATCGGCGTCCCTCAGGGATTGGTATCACGCGTAGGCACTCTGTTAGTACTTTTATAGAGAAGGGGTTCAAAAAGACACTAGATCAGATTCGTACCTCATTTTTGGGTTAATGCAAACTATATTTTGCCGCGGCAATTTTTTTTTTTTTTTACGAGCTTACGTGACATCATAACCTGCTGATGGCTGGCTTGAATGCAGGAGTTCGCAAAACGTTTATGGAAGACCGGAGGCAGTGAGTTGATAGTTTTGTGTCACCCTTTAATTCGGCGCCATTTCGCATTCAGATGAATAAGAGCCATCATAATCTTGCTATATTTGCTTCATTCTCTTCAACATTTCACCGCATGGCATACATTTTATGAATTTTACTTGGGCTACTCAATGCCATCCTTAATCTAGTCCAGGGGCTGACAAACGGCGGTTCGCGAGCCGCATGCGCCTCGTCGCAGGTCCAAGTGCGACTCCCGGCTCCCTGGTAAATGGGGCCACCTTCCCCTCCTGTGTCCCCAAGACGAGAGTTCTAAAATTAAAAAAAAAGCCCAGTGCTCGCAGCTTTACACTATCCGACATACACATGGTGGACTGCTTTTTGACACAGGGATGTGTCCCCTGTGACCGTGTTTCCTATATTTCTCTATAAATAATTTCGAACTGCATACGCATAACTGGCATCAGGGGCAGTGGCTGACATGCGAACCATGCACTCATTTTTGCTTACCGCTTGAAGAAACGTTGTGACCCTTGGTGTTATTTGTTGTAGTCGAGAATCATGCTTTTCCCATTCTGAAATGGCAGCTTCTTCGGTATCGTTTCTTATTAAAAGTAGCCCCTCTTTCCAATTTCTTTTCTGCGGCTCTCTGAACTTTTTTTTTTAATTTCGTCTGCGGCTCCAACCCCATGTCACACTGGCCACTCTTGATTTAGTCCATGCGTCTTGCGAAGGATTTTTTTTTTTTGGAATCATCGTGGGAAATGTATATTATTTTACTGTTTCTGTCGCGCGATACAGCAGTTGCGTGAGACAGCAAAGCGCGACAGATCAGTGCGTCCAGTGCGAGACAGCATATAAGATGAAAATGGACAATGGATCTTAGCTTAATTCTTTAAACACAGGGTGTTTCAACCAGCTTGTCCCAGGCTTAGAAAGATCGTTCACTCTATACGCGTGTCGAACATAAGCAGTATTCTTTACAGTCCTAGGAAGCAAGTGAAGATATATTTTGGGATTAGTCAAACTGGCTAATTAACACAAATTAATTCGCTAATGTTTTTAAACATTATTAACGCGCTAACCCTTTAAGACAAAGACTTCAGAGCGTTTTGAAAGACACTCCAGTAAAGATGGTTATTTTTACTAAGGATTGCGCCAGGACCCGAGGACGAAGGATGTAGAAAATCACCACTCGAAAATAATATTCAAGACTCGACCAAGAGAAGAAAATTCGTCTATTTACAATAGAGGTATCTTCCGAACTACTCAAGCCAAAAAACCTCTCGTGACCTACCCACCATCTCAACTTCCTTAACCATAGCCTCCTCTATACTCACAATGAGTGGCAGTTCGACGACGGAGCCATAGAGTGCCCGATTGCAGATTTGGAGCGCGAGGATCTGGTAGCGCAGAGAATTTCTCGGGGAACCTAATCGTCAACGAACAGCTTTTGCAGCGGCGAGGACCCGAAACGAGGGTTTCAAACCCGACGAGAAGAGCAGCGGTAGCGCGAGGAACCCGAGGAGCACGAACAGACATTTCATCGCTCGGGAGAAGTGTGTTTCAGCGCCTCGCCTCAGCGGGGCGCCTATCACGTGACCCTCCTCTCATCCGTTGTCTGCCGCTCTACCTTTCAATTTCGGCGGCCGCGTCTTGTGGCGATCTGCCAGGCTTTGTCAGTATAGAGGAGGCTATGCCTTAACCACGGTGGAAGAAATACAGTTAGGTCATGACTCTGGCCGCTCATCACGCGAAGAGCGAGTGACCAAATCGTGTTCGACGGTAGCCTCCAACCAGGAGTAGTTAGTTCCGCGCCGCCGCGGATGGCGCTGAGCTATGAGCACCATGGGTATGAGGTCCCTCCTCGGCGACCACGGAGTCGGCGGCGTAGCGAGCTCGGTTTTTCGCGGTGTGGTGGTGGTGTGCGGCCAGCGCCAGGCCTCGTGTTTTGCTTTGGTGCTGTGGCGATGACAGGCACCACCATCGTGCACGACGGTGAGCCTTAACCAGAAGAAGTTATGCTATAAGAATGGGAAAGACGTGCTTCGTTCGCAACTGCGATTCAGGGTATTTCTTCCACCTTGTGCATTTACTCTATCCTGAAGCCTCGGAAGTTCGGCAACTGTAGAGTAGTTGAAGGGGAGAGGTAATTACTTGACGACCAACACGTAGCCAGGATTTTGTTTCGGGGGGGGGGGGGGGGGAGAGGGTGGGGGCGCCCATGACAAAATGCTGTATGAGGGGGGTTGGAGAGGAGGGTCCCAGTAAAATGGAAAATTTCGGAGGGAGGGGGATCCGGGCCCCATGCCCCCCCCCCCCCCCCCCTGGCTACGTGCCTGCTTGACGTGTAAGATCTCACAGCCCTGATCAGAACGTACAAAATCCCGTTGTCTCCTCATCTTGTTGATTAAGTGAAGACCAAGCTTGACAGTCTAAGTTCTGTCAAAAACTGGGAATCCGAAGATGCCTGGACAGAAAAGGCTGAAGGAACCAAGACTGCGGACTACATACTATATTATGTAACTGGGTTTTTAGTGTGAAAATGAAAAAAAAAAGCAACGGGGTGCCCTGCATGCCGAACCGCTTTCAGCATCGACAAGAACGCTTCTGCTGAAGCAGCACTGACAAACGTGAAGAACAAAGCAGGCCTTATGCACGCCAACAGAAACCTTTTCCAGCTAGAGAAAAGAAAGTGGAACAGTTATTTGCGGAAAATAAAAGCCACCAGTCTATCTACAGGGGCACAATCGGCAGTGTTCTTGACTCATGCGCAGTAACGTTTCCATGCGCTGAACACAAAGAAACTATTGCCCAGTTCTTCCACCAACACATCAGCATGGAAATGCGACAACACTGTAACCATATTACCATGAGTAGGAACAAACAACCTCAAGAAAAAAGAAACAAGTAAAGCAGTGCTCGTATTAGTTTAAGAGCGTGGGCGAGAAACGCGGGATGTAGGAAATGGCGTAATTTAGTAGTATGCAGTGAATTCAGCTTTTGTATACATTTTAAAGCAAAACTTTTTCTCAGGTATTTCTTTACGTGTAAGACAGGGCGACACCATATTGTGAGTGTATAGATGAAAAGTGATCTAAGTGCTCTGACTGCTACTACTGTTTGACTTTCAGTCAGTTTGTCCTCATTTAAATCAGTGTGTCATCATACTGTGTCATCACTTCTGTCTCTATGTCACTATAAATAAAGATGTTTTCTACTGACACGATTTCTATGCAGCATAGCACCAGTTGACATCGTATGAATAAATCATTTGTAATACTAATGCCTTTCTGCCCAAATAAAGAATTTTTCGGCTCCGCTATGTAACGTTATCAGAATTTATTTTTCTTTAAATAAGAAGGCACGAGCAGGATGGAAAAACTGCCCCGACCCCGATAAGCCACGCAATGTGTGTAAACAATTTACGGGACTGTTACCAAACGTTGTCTGACAAAACATGCGAGCACCGCCCAGCTGTTTAACTGAATTATTTTAGATTACTCTGAATTATTGAAAACCCAGCAGATTGTGTCGAGAAGCTTTATATTTATACCAGTATTTTGTCAAGGCGATTCATCATCGGAATGTTCTCGTTTAAAAAACAGCAACCGGAAGGGGAAATGGAAATCAATGCAAATGCGCGAACATAATTTCATCAGTTCACCACTCAGTACACAGGGACCGAGTAAAGAATGCATAATCTCCTTCACAAACCCTCTATACAAGCCTTCACAAGCCCTTTTATACCTGAGCGCCATCTATCCCCGTGAGAGTGAAGCATGCTCGGTGTGTCGAACATAATATGGTCGCTGCATAGGACAGAGTCATCACCTAAATGTATTTCTTTCACCGTGGCCTTAAAACATGAATCCCGCGCTAGCCAGCACGAGCGCCGTCAGTTCACACGTTTATGGGGGCACAGGAGCAAAGACAAATACGTAAACCAACGAACACGACTGTGGGTCTCATTCTTGTGTCCCTTCACGAGATAGCGCGGCTGATTCTCACAACCCCCTGTGTCGCATTCACCAAGGCGGCCCTGGGGTGTCTATTTTTCCTTTAGCCTTAAAGGAAGTGCGCGAGATTTGAAAAACCTCACGTGTCTAAGAGCACTAATCTCGCAGTTCGCTGGAGGGTACAGTCACCTAACATATTTTTTATATGTTGTGGGCCTTATTTTTCTTCCTAAAACACAAAAATAATGTACCGAAATACTACTTTTATGTAAATCACAAAATGAGATCTTTCTCGATGCTCTCTACAGCATTCGTATGGAAAGGTTTGCAAGCGAATAATTACTTAGAAAGTTAGTTAAGCCATTTGTATTAAGTAGCCAGTTTGGCACACCATGAAAACGGATTGATTTGCTCAATGGGGCTCTGAACAACACTGCATTCGTTTGTTCAATGCGTGTAACAGCTTTTTCAAATAATTGGGACAAATTGGCTAAAACATTGTATACAGTGAGCACCAAAACGAAGAACATTTGAAGAACAGTTTACATGAATCACGCTTCCTGCGTCTTTTTTTTTTAAATAGTTTAACAATAAGACGGGGACCTTACAACGTCACAACCCAAATATACTTTATGCCTTTGCCGCGTACCGTGTTTTGTAAAACTCTTTATATTGGCGTCCCCCCTTTTTCGCGAAACTGTTACAAAGGACATAAACGCGGCTACTAATTATCGCGAATTCCAAACGTTTGCGTTGAAACTGTTAAGGCCCGAAATTTTCGCGTGCCCTTAAATTTCGCAAATTTTTCAATTTCTCGAATATTAAGGACTCGCGAACAGTAAGGGTTTTACACTATTCTATCCGCGGAACAATAACGTTAAATTTATAATACAAAAACTCTGCGAAGCGGCAACTTCTCAAATGCCTGTTCGGAGCGACCGAGGCAGCGCCTTCGGAAGTAATTGTGACAACGGTCTTCTTCTTATGTACTGTTAGAGAATTGGATTTCACACCCTTCTTCGAAACACCATGTCTGTGAGGGCCCTCTGGGAAGTTCTTGAAGTTAGATAGTTACAAAAACATATTTAATTCAATGTCACATCCTAAAACTTTGCATGATGTCAATCTTTCATAAGAAAGTTTAAGTGTGTTTCCAGATGTGCGTGTAATGTTTTTGTTTATTCTTCAGATCAATCAACATGGGAGCGATTGGGGCAATTATAGGTCATGAAATTACTCATGGGTTTGACAATATTGGTAAGTAGCCATTATATTTGTATCAAACTTTAACGCACCGTAATTGGTGGTGTATATTATGCGGACTGTGCAAGTTCAAAGAGTTGCAATTTTATTCGGTGCGTACTATCCAAAAGGACGAACTATACACTCTAAAAAAAAACGTGAGTCTACTTCTCGCACCAACACTTGGAGAGGTAATCCTCGCAACTTACAGAGGCAGCTCAGTCAATGACGAGGCAGAAACCTACGTTTAGACCAAAATTCGCACTGTGAGTTGTGGCATTAAGCAATGCAAAACGTCACGCTTAAATGGCTTAATGTCACAACTAAAATTTGTTTCTTGGTGTAAAGATATGTTTCGGCATCGTCATTCGCCGAGCTGCCCCCGTAAGTGTTGTGCAGGATGGTATAGGCGCACGGGCTTTTTTCAGAGTATGCGTTACTCTTATTTCCCTCGATAAAAGAAAAATATTACCGATTCAAGGACTCCCATTCTACTAAAACTAGCAACGCCTCTGAAAAGGAACTGCCGCTTACCCCCCCCCCCCTTTCCCCAACCTAAAAATAGGGTTTCCTTCTCCTTATAAAAAGTTTTTCGGACGCCCGTGGTATAATAATGGTGATTTATTTATGATTTAAGCTGCTTTGTGAACACTAATGCAGCTGACATGTGTCGAGATGTGCTGTGTATGATAATTTTACATTCTGGTTGGGCACCAAGTGCGGACTATGCACCGTCTGTGGACTATCTAAGGTAAAGCTTTTCCTTCCGGCTGAAGTCGGCCTTTGTGAACCAATCAGCAGGTGCGGACTATAGACCGAAAAATACGGTAGTGCAGTTCAGTTTGTTCCTTATATCTTGCTCATACTTCGATAAGGCGATTTTTGAAGACTCTCATTCTAATAACGTTTGTGAAAAAAAAAAATCTCATACATTTTTAGCAGCTATCACATAAGATTTACCTCAACTAAAAAGGCCCCCCCTCCCCCCCCCCCCCCCCCCCCCCCCCGAGCCTTGTTAAAAAAGAAAAAGTGGAGGAGATGAACATTAGATGTTTCAATTAGTTTTATTTTTTTTAATTTGTCGGCCATAATTCTTGTCGGCATACGGGGTGGGGTATGAGGATTATCGCTCAGAAGAACAGAAATATTGCACCGTTTCGGCGACGCGGCGTTATGTTCAAGTCAGGACAAGACATCTTACTGCGATGCAGTTTAATGCAGCTTAAGCCGCTACAAGTATTTATGGCGGTAAGTCAAGGATGGCAAGATCGCACCTTTCTCTCGATGAGGCTGCGCGACACATAGTTAAATTACTCCGAATGAGCCCCTGCATGTGTGTCAAACACGTTCGCTGACTGCCTTGAATTAATTTTTTTCTTGAATCAAGATGGTCCACGCCAGTGATTTCCCTAAACACCCCTACGGGAGGGGAGGGGGCGTGAGGGGGGGGGGGACTTACACCACCCTTGTTTTTCAAAAGGCACCCCCCACTTCGCAACAACTCCTATGTTCTCAATGCCCCATCCCTAACCCCTCAGCCTAGAAATTTAAACACCGCCCCTAATTTCGATTTCTGTAAAAACCCGTGCTCCAGGCACGCCTGATTATTGTTCCCTTTAGAGTGATAACCTTTCGATAGCACCTTTACAAAGTCAAAAAGCTATCAGCGGAAATTGATCACACCCAAATTTTCTCCAAAAAAGTTGTTCGACGCGGGCGCGATCTTCACGAGGTTCTACTCCTGGACTACCTGCATATTGACGAGCTATTCCTGCGGGAACAGCTTGTCAAACGTTTTCCCCTCATAGAAGGCACTGTGGAGTATCTGGTTCTCGACCGGCTCGGAAACTTCACTATCTCCGAGCATGTGCTTGTGCATCTTGTCGTTGTCGATGTTATTTTTTTTTAACGCTTTCCGAGCGTCACGACAGAAACACACACACACACTCGCAGAGTACGCACATAAGTTTGATACTTTAGCCCTACGTTTAAGTAAACAGAAGCGGCCGCCATATAGCCAAAAAAGTTGTTTTTCGAGTAAAACTCGTCGAAGCATCAGGCTTCCCCTAGGCCCTTACCTCGAACCAACGTTACTAAAACACTCAGTTGGCAAACTCACCGTTGAAGCCTGGGCCGTTGCCGTCCACGGAGGCCGAGCTAAATACGACAGCAGCGTCACTGCTAATCTTTTAGTTTTCTGTTGTCACATTGCGCTTTCTGAAAGCATGTTTTTGCGTAAAAACAAACGGAAAGACAATTTTTTTGCAGTAACTTTTATTAAAGTTCAGTACAAAATGACGGACGCGTGATTTTTTCTAAAATTTTTAGTTCGCAAGTTTTTGAGGCACTATTAATATTGTTTTTATAAAACAATGTCTTAGCGGTGATTTCAGATAGCGCGTCCCGACCTTGGCGCATTCTACCTTCGGTAGTAAATCGCTGCGCGTCCGCTTGGGAGACGGGGGTGGCACCCCTGATACCCCTTCCACGTATCTATTTCGTCGCCAAAATGTTCGATTAAACCCAAAATAGAAGTCACAGCGGACGCTGCCGAATGCGGTACTCCATGCAGTTCCTCATCTTGCCGCTGCGGGAGTAATGGCGGCGGTGTGATCCTCATTAGCTTGGTTCTCGAGTACGGATCGGTGCCACTTTTTCAGAGCAGGCTCTGTGGCAGTTTCCCAACTAAGTGGTTCTAGAAACTGTGGCCAGCGGCATCGTTATGCGCATTATAGGCACAAGTAGCGCCGCCAGCCCTCTGTAGTCGCAACCAAAAGCGCACAAATAAACGTCTTGGCCTCTCAGCAATCACCGCGTTCGGGTGTGCCCCTACGCGCGGTCCACAGGTGTCAGAAGACACAAAGGACCGACGAAGAATACCCAATCTCAAAAGGTCTAACGGTCAGCCTTCGCCAAACGGCCGCGCAGCCCTGCCGCTGCAATGGCTACTGCAGCGATAGCGGGAATCGTGACATCCTTGCTACCGGCCCCGAAGTCCCTGGATACGTCTTAAAGGGACCATAAAGGCAATTTAAATTTTGTTTTAAAAAAGAAGGGGTTTTCGAAAGCATTGGGGTCCTGGCATGCCACACAACTTTTTCTAGAACGTTGCGACTCTTATTTCTGTACCTGCAAATAAATTTGCGAAACCGAAACAAACATTCAGATTTCTTCTTCCCCTTTTCGCCTCTGGAAAGAGAAGTAACGTCAGGGAGCACTGTCGGCATCGGTAGGATTTAGTGCACACTCAGTGTGGTTCCAGTGGTTCGCTCTAGTGCACGGCGATCTGTGAAGAAAACCTGGAAGAAATGGACGACAACGCCGTACTCGCAAACGAGTTTGAGCTCCCGTTCAGCGACCTCACGCCGACAGAACGGGAGATGCTGCTAAGGACGCAGAAACCTGGATTGGCGACCGATGCAGCAATGCGCAGCATTGGTGCATCGGTCGGCAGTTTATGCAAACTAACGTCGCCCGATCGACCGCACGTCTTTATCCGAACTTTCGCGCAACCTACTACTGCACATAAACGCGGCATGATTGGTGAGACACCAGTTCGCATAGCGAACACGAGACGACGCACGAAACCAAAACCAAAAGTCCGCCGCCCCCGGCGCTCGTACCTCTTTTTGATATTTTATCCATGGTTGCTCGATGCTTGTTACGCGCCCGAGGTAGCAGTGCGGGATGCGTTCAACCAGTGACAAACGAAAGGATCGCTTCAGATTATGCTTTTATACACGGTATTTCCAACTAAAACTTCAAAAGATTATACAACGTTCAAATAAACTTTTTTCATCACATCTCACCACCGAAATCGAGACCAAGAGCGCGTCTATCGTTTGAACCAATCGCCAGACGAGGAGCCCGTTGTCGTCACGCTTCGACGGCGCACTTTAGTTCACCTTTCTGCCGCCGCCTCGGTGGGGTCTCAGGCATCGTTCCCGGCGCTACTATTACCGCGCCTGTTTGCTCAATTGGTGCGGCACCCAAACTTCTGTTCGGGCTAGAGCTTGGTCAACAGTATCTGAGACGTGCCTGACATACATTTCAATCGTCGAATAAAACTTCGAAACTGCCTTCGTGGTCCCTTTAAGATTTTTGGGTGGCATGGAAACTTTGGGCGAGTGAGTACAAGCTCTACGCGACTAAGACCGGGCTCGCAACGAAGCGTAAAGAAATTGAAGCGGCGGCGTTTTTTGGTCGTAATCGGCGAAAAGTGACGGAGGATCTTGCGCACGTTCAATTTTGAAACGGAAGCGGATCGCGACGACGTAGAAAAGCTCTTCGAAAGATTTGAGGAGCACTGCAAGCCCATCGTTAACCTCGCGTCCCACGACTTCGTTTTCGGCACGAGAGACAAACAGTCGGGAGAACGCTTCGATGAATGGCTGACGGAGCTTCGTACGCTCATCCGGATCTGCAAGTAGGGGCAGGTCTAAGAGAGGATGTGGAAGAGCCGCATCATCCTAGGCATAAAGGACAAGCGGTTGCAAAGCCCTCTATCTGATCAACGAGAACCCAGGCTTTCGCAAGCTCGGGGAAGTTTGTCACACACGAGAGAAAAGCAAGCAGCAGGTAAAAGAGATACAGAAAACGACTCAAGTAGGCCGCGGCAACGCGAACAAGCACCAAGACGGCACTGAAGAGGTTAACTTCGTACAGAAGAACAAAGCGTGCGCGAAGTGCGGTTACGCGTAGCACAAGAGCCAAGCCCGCCCTGCAGAAGGCAAGAATTGCAAGCAGTCCGGCAAACTCAACCACTTCGCAAGCGTCTGCCGATCAAAGAAGCCGAACAAGAGAGGCGCCGGACAGATGAAGACCAGGAAAGTTGGCAGCGTGGAATGCGAAGGACGCTGCGTTTTACATGCCGTCTCTTGAGCTACACGCAAAAATGTGGAGTTCGGAAAGTCGAGATCAACATTGAAGGCAAGCCAGTGGTTTTGCAACTTGGATGCAGGAACAAACTGTTGAGTGATTTCCCTCAAGCAACTGAAGGCGATAGCACACAAGGA